CGCACAGCGCGAAGGCGTCCACGCAGCTGCTCTCGCCCGGGCCGCCGCCGGCGCTGCCGGCCAGCCCGTAGCGCTCCAGAGCCTCGGCCACGAGCTCGCGTGCCGTGGAGCGCGCGGTGGCCAGCACGCTCTTGTAGTTGGTCCCCGACGCCAGCCCCGCGCCGAAGATCTTGAGGACCCCCGGGGGCGCCGTGGGGCGGGTGGCCAGCGGGGGCTCGGGGGCGACGCCCGCCGCCAGCTCGGGCAGCTTCTTCTCGCTGGCCCAGCGCTGCGCCGCTCCCGGAGTCCCCGGGACCCCCGCGCCGCCGGCCCCCGAGGCCCCGGTGCCCGAGCCCCGGAAAAGCTGGGAGATGCGCTTGGCGCGGCTGCCCGAGGCGCCCCCCGCCGCCTTCACGGCGCCCACGCGCCGCAGCTCCACGTGTGGTGGCGGCGGGGCCATCGGCTCGCTGCTGCGACTCCCCGTGTCGGAGGATGAGGATCTGCGAGCCGGGCGGGGACCGGCGAGGGAGAGCCCGGGACAGAGGAGAAAGGAAGTGGCCACGAGCCAGAGAGATGGGGGCAGAGATGGGCAGAGGCCAGAGAACGGGGTTGGACAGATGAGGGTGGGAATAGAAATTGGAGGAAAAGAGAAAATAAGTAAGTAAGTAAATAAATAAATAAAGGCGAGTCCCACAGAAGGAAATGTCACGAGGGGAGTTGGAGGGCAGGCAGGAAGGGGAATCAGAACCCCTGCGCCTTCTGTGCCCGCCTCCTGGCCCAGCTCTGCCCCCCACCCGCCGCGACACGGCTCTAGGGTCCCTGAGCGTCTCCACTCCACCCCCAGCTCCCTTGCCCATTCAGGACAGCAACCTTCTCTGGGGCAGTGCAAGGCCTGGGTCACCAACAGGGACAAACGAGAGGGAGGCAGGCGGGCAGGGCAAGTGGCCACTCACTTGACAGAGGCAGCGCTGGGCCAGCGCCGCCCCAGCTTGGCGAGCTGCTTCCTGGGGGAATTGATCCACAGGCCCACCGGGAGATGCAGCTTCCCGAAGCGGGGGCTTCCGCCCTCCTTCCGTTCACCAGATAGCATGGCCCTAAGGATAGGTAGATAAAGCCCCTATGTCTAAGGCACTGGGTGGTGGTGACGGAGGGGGTGGAGAGGGACCTGGACTCCTGAGGCAGGCAGATGGGGGCTGGGCTTAGGCTCCCGAGGCCGGGAGGATAGGGATGGGCGTGGGACTCCGGGCCCGGGACGGAGGAGGCTGTGGATTGACTCTGGGGTCCATGGCTCTTACCCTGCTTCGGGTCCAGCAGCACCCGGAGGCCCTGGCTCCGTCGGCCCGAGTTAGTCCCCGCTCCCTCCGCTCTTGTAGCCTTTGCCTCTGCCCCAGCTCCCTGCACTGGGTGGGGGACAGGAAAAGGCCAGAGGAAACCCGGCAGGAAGAGCGGGGAGGGGGCGTCCTGTGAGGAGACGAGGCCTGGGGGAGGAGACCTGGGCAAGGCTGGCCCTGCCTTGCTCCTTGATTCTGGGATTCTGTCACTGCCTGTCGGTCCCTTCCACCGGGCCCCGGGGCTCCCGGCTCGCAGCCCCTCCTCTCCCAGGCAGGAGCCCAGCTCTAGACCTCTCCAGTCATGAAACCAGAAGTTTGGATCAGACTTGAGCAGTGAGTCAGATACTTAGACAAAAAGACAAATCTTTATTGGTTCTCCAGATCCGAGGCCTTTTCCTTTGGTTGCGCAGCAGCTTCGTTGTCAACGTTGACCGGTGAAGACTTTGGTTTAGCCGTCGTCTTCGCCCCGCGAAATAGCCTGAGGGGGCCGGGGGTGCAAATAACGGAGCCACGTTAGGCAGGAGTTGAATGAGGCACAGCTCTCCCAATATCCCACAAATCTGACTTTATTCTGGAAATTATGCTTCCTCACCCTCCAGAGGAGCCCCACCCCCTATGCAGGCTCTCATTGGCTCCCGGGCCTCCTACTGTGTGGGCAGCCAGAAGCCCCGCCCCTTCCTCCGAGCCCCGCCTCCTCCCCTGGCGGCTCACACTGTAGCCACGACGGCTATCAGAAGTATAAAACCGATAGAGCCGCAGATCAGCAGCACTAAGAGGCGTCTTCGCAGGATATTCTCGGGCTTCGGAGGCTGGAGGGTCTCAGAGGAGGACTCAGGGGTTACGCCTGGTAACTGTTGCTCCTCCTCCAGCCTTTCAGGCAACACTGGCAGGGGAGTGGCAAAACAGCAGTCCCGGCAGGGGACGAAGGTGCCCCGCCCCGCCCCTACCCAAGGCCACACCCAGAAGAAGCCACGCCCCTGCTCAGGCCACGCCCACGGAACGGCCTCTCGCTCCCTGGAAACCTCACGGCTCTACTCCTAACCCTGGGCTGACCTGTGACGTGGAAATAGATGATCGTGGCTGGGCCGGAACTCACGGTCCCCAACTCACAGCGGTAGTCGCCTGCATCCTCTGGCTCCACCATGGGCTTGGTCAGGAGGGGCTCCTTCCCCTTGGACATCAAGGTCTCAGAATTGTTCCCCCAAACCTAGACCCAAGCTCAAGGGGTCACAGAGGTTTGAGAAATTCAGGGGTCGGACAGTTCAGGGGTGAGAAGATCTCTCAAGGTGAGATAGGGGGGCCCAGGGGGAAGTGTCCCCGGCGGTCAGTAGAGGCCACGTCTACTAGGTCACAGGTCAGGAGGGTTGGGTGCAGGCCAGTGGACCCAGGGGTCGGCAGATCCAGAGGCCGAGGGAACCTGATGGACGTGGGCTCAAGGGCTACGGGAGTCGGGGGGCCCCACCCTGTAGAAGCTGTAGTCGGTGAGTCCTTGAGAGGCCTGGTGCCAGTTGAGGTAACAGTCCAGGATCATGTCCTCCATCTGATGGAGCTCCACATGGCGAGCTGTGAGCAGCAGGGCTGTGAAGGCTCCTTCTGCCTTCACTGCCACCCCCCCTCACCCCCCCACACACACACACACACAACAGCGGGGCCTCCTGGGCTGGAGTTTCCGGTCCGCACTCTCTCAGGCTCTCCTCTAGCCCCGCCCCTCTCGCACCAACCCTGCCCGCCGGGTTTAGCGCTCACTCCCGCAATCGTAGGACTTCAGGCAGGTGTGGACCTCCTTCTCGCACTTATTGCACCAGATCAGAGTCTGCAACATCGTGCCTGAAGAGACAAGGCCGCGGCGTGTATTCGCCCACTAGAGGGTGAGGGCAAGGCCAAGGGTTGGGGTGCGTTGTGCATCAAATCCCTAAGAGATTGGCCCACCAATGAATGAGGCGCAGCAGGGTGCAGATAGAATGCCACCCGATACCCAAGAAATCCAAGCCAAGAAATCCAAGCCGCAGAGAGACTGCTGGAGGCCCAGGAGGCTCTCTGATTGGAGAAGGAAGAAGAAACCACCCCCTCCAAAAAGGGAAGGGGGAAAGGGGGGGGCAGGGATGCTGGGTAAAGGACTAATGTCCATTATCTGGACTTACCACATTTGTTAGGACAATAAACTGCCTCAGGCGGGAGAAGAACCGAGAGAAAGAGATGAGAGAATCAGATTTCTAAGCTCAAGTAGATTGGAGAAGGGGGTGGGGGCAGGGCTGAGCTTTCAGCTCTTGGGTCCCAGGGGGAGGGAAGGACCTGAGCGAGGCCCCCTCTAGGGTTGCTCCCGGCCCTCCTCACCCTCATCTTGGAACCGCTCAGCAAGGGTGGCAAAGTTCTCTTTTTGTAGGTGCAGCATCCAAAACAGCTCCTTCACGAAGAGCTCCCCTGGAAGGAAGCAGGGAGTGCACAGTGCCCTACCCTGGCCCCCACCCCCCTTAGTTGGAGGAGGTCTGCCTCTGTGAGCCTGGAATTCCACTCATATTTATTTATGAGATGGGACCTCAATAAGCAGCCCGAGCTGGTCTTAAACTCTTGGATTCAAGCAAACCTCCTGCCTCAGCCGCCCAAGTAGCTGGGACTACAGGTGCAGGACACCGTGCTGGGCTGGGATTCATTTTCTGGTTTTGCTCAGGGAGCAACACGGGACTCATTCAATCTTTGCGACAGCTAAGGGAGGAGGGAGCTGCTGAGGCCTCCACTTGGGAGCTGAGGGAGGCCCCAAGTCCCCTGCTCGAGACCACATGTCTAGGAAGCCGCAGAGCTGGGACCTCAATCTGGCAGCCTGGCTTGGAACCTGGGGTTGATTCCCACCGGCCTCGGCAGCCCCAGCAGTGACTAACCTGGACCACCCACCCCTCGGTGCATTTACCTTTTACATCACTATCTGTAATGCGTTTCAGATCCTTCAGAAAACTCCAGGATGCCTGTTGCAGCGTATCCTCATCTGTAGGTGGTACACAGAGCCCCACATTCCAACCCGACTGTGTCTAGGCTTGCCTCCCTGTAGAAACTACAATTCCCATGAAGTCACCGGGGCAAGGACAGCCCTGATTAAGGAAGTAACCAGCCATCACCTTCTGGGACCTGCGGTTTGATAACATAAAGGTGCGGGATAAAGGGGAGAGGGGACAGGATTTGCTACTGAATCTGCAGCCTAGCCTTCTCCATTCCAGAACTCAGGAGACCCTGTCCCCAGCCACTTCCTATCCCAGGACCCAAGAAGCCACCCTCAGCCCTGCCCTCACCAACAGCCCCCACGTAGGCCTCCTCGCTGAACTGCAGGTTCTTAAAATTGTTCACGGCATGCTCCACCCTCTGCATCACGTCTGCGTGATGCTCAGCACTCAGGTGGTCAGGCAGGTAATCTGTCTCCAAGGACTTTAGCGCTGCCACCACGGACGGGTCGCATATGATGCAACACCCTGCAGACGGCAGGCAGCAGGCCAGGCCCACCAACAGGAGGGCAAAACGCAGGCCCATCACAGCCAGAGTGTGGTCCTCAAACACCACCAGGGAGGGTCCGCTCACCCCAAACTGAGAGCAGGTCGACGCTAAAGGGGGAGAAGCCAAAGCCCATTTTAGGGGACCTCACTGAGCCCCCAATCTTGCAAAGTTCCCAGGAAACAGGAGCTTTAGGAAATCTCCAAATTAAGATATCTCCTTCAAGGCAGAAGGTGGAGGACAGTTGCGAGTTCGAGACCAGCCTGGGCTACAAAGTGAGCTCAAGGCCAGCCTGAACTGCATAGCGAGACCCTGTCTCAAAAAGACAAAAAAGAAGGTATCTCCTTCATCAAATGTCTCCACAGCATGAAATATAATCCCAATCCATGGGTCCCAAATTCAGGGTCATTGCATCCCAACTAAGAGACCAGAAAAGAATTAAAGCAGGACTCCCACTCCCCACCCAGGCTCCCCAAATTCCAACCCACGGCCTTCCCAACTCCCCCAAATCCATGTGATCCCAAGTCCCAAACCTCAAGTGCATCAACACTCAGATATCCCAAGGCCCCCAAAACCTGTTGTACCTCCAACTGAAATATCAGGGCCCACACCAAATAAACTATGCAGTGCAGGGCCATCCTGGGTATTATCAAACTCAAAGTTCCCTCAAACCAAAAATATACCCCAAATTCTTAAAGTTGGGGACCCTAAAACTTAAGCAATTCTCCCAGCCACCCTCCCCCAAGAGCAAGACCCCAAATTTGCAAGGCACACCATTCTTAGCAAACAGAGCCCCTGCACCCTAACCAGCGAGGCACCCTCTCCGACCTTGATCTCTGACTTATGCCCTCAAACCCTAGGGTTAGATCAGAAGCCCAGTCCAGCTCCTGAGGGCTCCTATTTTCCCGCCGCTAAGATTAAGGATGGGGTGGGGGGTACTAAGAAGTTGGCAGCATAGAATAATTTGTCGGCTTGGATCGGAGTCGTGGGCTCTGCCCTCTCTACCAGAAACCCCTGCCGCTTCCCCTTTGGAGTTTCCCACGTGGGGGCCCCCAACCCGGGAGACAGGCCTCAGGCTTCTCTTGGCTCCGCCCAGAAGCCCAACTCTCAGTCTGATTGGACCGAAACTCAAGGAGGTCTCGCCCGGGGCTCCGTGACGTCACAGAGGCGGCCCCCCAATCCACGATCTTTCCCAGCGCCGGCGGAAGGGAAGCCGTCCGCCTGCTGTGCTTCCAGAGCAAAGGTCCGGTTTATAGCCTCCAGCGTCCTCCCTTCCCTCGGTCCCGGGACCAGGCTTCCAGCTGTATGCACTCTGGCTGTTTGGAAACCCTGGCGCCCAGCCACAAAGACGAGAGAAGTGGCTGTTTCTAGTTTAGGACTATGACTCCCAGAAGGCCCTGGGGCCTCACTCTCTAGACCAAATTAGTGCCGCCAGCCCCGCTAGCTTTATAGGAAATGTAGTTCGGTAATGACACTGCACATTCACTAGCTCCTCCACCTTCTCGCCCTCCTTGGCTGACTGCTGAGACTAGTAAAAAGAGATCTGGGATCGGTACTGATAGTCCCAGAGGAAGATACTGAAGACTGAGACTTTTGGGTCCCAGAAAGCACCGTTCACCTTTTCTGCATAATTCCGGGTACCAGATAAACAGGAACTACAACTCACACAAGCCCCAACAGCAAAGACCTGCCAGATCTGAGCAGGTACCGCACCTCAAGGCATCATGAGTAATGGAAGTCTGCAGCTGGGCCTGGTGGTGCACACTTGTAATCAACCCCAGCGCTAAGGAGGCTGAGGCAGGATCACCGCGAGTTTAGGCCCAGCCTGGGATACATAGTAAGTTCAACCCCAGTTTGAACTACATAGCCTGTTTTAAAAAACCAAAGCAAAAGAAATCCCCCCAAACTCCCTACCTTTCCTTTCACTTCTACACACCTGCACAGGCAACAGAGCTCCAAAAAACACACACAGCTCCCTGCAACAGGGATGGGTGATGCAGACTTTTAATTCATATTCGCACTCTCCTGTGTGTGGCAGGGGCGTGGGGAATGTACCCTGAAAATCCCTGAGAAGACTAGCGATTTAGGTTCTTGGGTGGGGCGTGATTAGATTTGCCTATATCTAAGGAATCTTCCCTACCTATCTAAAAAGCAGCAAGGGCTTCTGGAATCTGAGTCCAAATCCCATCCTTAATTGGACACTGTGCTTCTGCCTGGGCTTGAGCTGGGTTTTGGAGGTCTACACGTCCTTGGATCCATTCATCCCAGACCTGCCCAAAGCCAGATTTAGTGGTTCTGGGATCTCAGGGGTACCCAGCAGCTGTCGAGGAGCACAATCCGCTGACCTGCAGAAAACAGACCCCAGATCCACAGCAGTCCAGCTGCACAGGAGGAAGCTTCCTTGATCCTAAACCAGAGTCAATATGTGCCGTTTCTGTCTTTGGCAGTTTGGAGCTTAAGAAAAATAAACGAAGTGTCCTTGGATCTTCAGAAGGTTGTGCTTCTCAGCTGCAGCATTCCAACTGTCTCTCTCGCCTGTGATTTAGTCTGTCCGCTGAAAACACAGTTGTGAGGCTTCTTCCTGGGCTGAGGGTTGGACAGAGTTTGGCTCTGCTCACAACTCCCAACTATCCCCAGGCCTCTGAACAGGGCACGAGGCTGCCCTGCCCCCATCTCTTTGACAGTGGGGGTGCTGAGCTTCCTTCCAGCTGTGGCTTCTAGATCCTTCCCTGGGGTGATGCAGAACTCTGGAGCCTGTCTGCTCTGGAAGGGCCCTGCAGGGTTCTTTACAGGCTGTACATGTGGGCCTCTCTAGAACAACCTCCCCTCTAGAATCACTCAGAAATGGAGTCCATACATGCTTGCTCTAGATAACCCATGAATTCCTCCAGTCTTCTGAAGACCCAGGGGAAAAATAACACCTTGTTTAGAAAAGATAAAGATGGTCAACTCTAAAGGGAAGCAGCCACCCAGAAGTCCTAGGGATACGAGCAGGAAAGAGCAGATGGGCACTACAGTTTCTAGAGCTGCCACAAGCTTCTCTAGACATTGCCAGCCACCAGGAAAAGTTCCAGCCTGGCATGGTGGTGCAAGCCTGTAATCCTAGCACTTGGGAGGCTGAGGCAGGAGGATCACTGCAAGTTTGAGGCAAGCCTAGGATACAAAGTAAATTCAAGACCAGCCTAAAGTGCATAGTGAGACCTTGTCTCAAAAAGACCAGAAAAAACAAAAGAAGGAGGAGAAGGAGGGGGAGGAGGGGATGGAGGAAAGGGAAGAGGAGGAGGAGAAGGAGAAGTTCCACTGGTTCTAGAGTGCCTCGCAGTTCCAGAAAGCCCCTCCTTCTAGTCTGGCCAACTAGAATCACACCACAAGGGGGGGCCCATCTGCCCCAGGACCACCCCACTGGCTTATCCAGAACCCACCAGGCCTCCAGAGGGATCCGATCTATATGTAAAGTCTCCCTAGTTTCCAAAACTCAGACCACATGTCTGAGGCCTGGAGTGAAGACAAGTTGGCATTAATGCCCATCCACTCCGGCAGGAAGGCCGCCTCAGGCTTGAAGATATTCAGGAACTCAGAGTCCGGCAGGGTGAAGTTGGCCAGGTAGATGGTGTCTCCACCAGCCAGGTAAGCAGCCCAGAAGCCGAAGGTGCCAATGGTCATGATGGTGTGATTGCACTGCGTGAGCAGGGAGAAGTCCTTCCCAGGTGTGCCCTCCTGCCCATCGCCGGCAAAGACCACATCGCCCTTGGAGGTGTCGATGTTCTCCCTGCACCACTGCATGCCGTTGCTGGTGACCACAAAGATGGGGTCCCTGTGCCGGGCCCGGAACCAGGCCATTGCCTGGCCTAGGTAAGCCCGGTCGCCTATCACACCCCTCCAGTGCTGGGGCATCACGTGCACGTAGTCCCCGCGGCGCACATGGACCCCCACAAAGGTGTGCGGCCGGGACCCCGAATAGCCCAGGCGCAGCTCTCTCAGGAAACCCTGGGCCTCCTCCCGAAGGTGGTCGTGAAGGGTGAATTCACTTCGGATCTGTTCCCGGAGATGGTGGAAGAAAGTCCAAGAGCAGGGGAAGCCAGAGAGCTTCAAAAAGGGGTCCTCCAAGTGGAAATACTCCTGGGACATCCAGTCATGCAGCTGCAGCTTCCGCCACGGAGTGTGGCTGTCCACCTCGGGGGCCAGCACGGGCAGGGTGATCCGGAACACGGGGGCCAGCGCGGCGTGCATGGCCGGCATGATGAAGGCGCGGCGGCCGTTGAGCTGGGCCAGCGCGAGCAGCGTAGCGTACTGTCCCATCTGGTTCCCAAAGCGGCCATTGGGGAGGATAGTCCAGGTTCCCGACAGGGAGGTGGGGTGCTGGCGACAGGACGAGGTGTTGGCGCCCCGTGGGCATAAGATGGCCACTGGGGATGACCGCAAGCGGTGGTCCCGACACAGGACAGATAGGCCAAGGCCGTCTTGGAAGATGTCGTGGAGGTAGAGAAAGAAAGATATCCCTGAGAGGACGCACACGAGCAGGAAGCCCAGGCAGAGCTGGCGGGGGCTGGGCGCCCACATGGCTGCCAAAAGGAGAGGACGTAGGGATGCTCCCGACCGCGACCGAGGAGGCTAAAGGCGCAGGGTCCTGCGTGCGAGGCCGGAGGCGGCTGGGAGCCTAAATCCTAGGAGGCCTGAGGAGCTTGGAAGGCTGGGGCTGCAGTGGAGGCTACGGGTTTCCAAGCTAGCAGTGTGCGGGGCTCGAGCCCCTGGGACTTCCTGACTCTTCACGTGTAACAGGGCGGCACCGACCCCAGGACACAGTTCCTGTTAGGGCGGCAGGAGGTGACCGAGCGAGTGGAACAGGAGAGCCCCGAGGAGGGATCTTGCGCGCTGGCCGCCTGGAGCAGAGACGCAGGACCCCGGTGCCGGGACGCGGCCTCCGCATCCGCAGCGCTACTCACCCGAGCGCCGGGAGGGTGGCGGCGGCTCCCGAGGTGGCTTCGCTGGGCCGGGACGC